AGAACTTGCGGCGATTTCTGGAGAATGGTTTGGGAACAACAAACACTGGGTCATTGTCATGACTACAAGTATATCATTTTACTTGTACATATATTCTCAGTGTGAGAATAAATTTGACGTCTCGTGTTGATGTAAATTTTACGATTTATATTGTACAGAAATTTATGTAATTTTACAGTTTTATATAATTGTATCGTCCTTTCTTTTTCAGAGTGGTGGAAAAAGGGCGTACAAAGTGTACACAGTACTGGAATCCTGAAGCGAATCATGATGTACAAGTGAATGGTTTTACAATAACCACTCTCGAAGTTGACAAAAATCGAGATTACACAATATCCACGCTTCTTATTACAAACACAAAGGTATGTGTGCATATATATATGTAATTTTATTCTTTCATTATTATATTTTGTTATATTTATTTTACATATATATATATATTTGCTTCCTTTCAGACTGATGAGACAAGAGAAGTTTGCCATATGTTGTACACAGCATGGCCAGATTATGGTACTCCTAAATCAGCTAAAGCTTTACTGCAATTCTTGTCTTTAGTGAGACAGCAGCAGAGTAAATTACTCACCAGTAGAGGAGATACATGGGCCGGACATCCTCGAGGACCACCTATAGTTGTACATTGCAGTGCTGGTATTGGAAGAACAGGTAAGTAGACAAATGTTTGCAAACAGAATTATAGTCTAGAATGTATTTGGTATTTTTTGCAATAAAAAAAGAATTGGACACACGGTATACGTCAATACTGGCGTGTTTCAGGTACATTTTGCACTTTGGACATTTGCATATCGCGGTTGGAAGATACTGGAACTGTAGATGTACGAGGAACTGTTGAGAAGATCAGAGCACAGAGGGCCTACAGTATTCAAATGCCGGATCAGTACTACTTTTGCCATGTTGCTCTAGTGGAATATGCATGTTCTAAAGGACTGCTTAGCACACAAAACGCCTCTGTGCTCCCTTTATTGGTTGAAGAGGATTCCGATTAAGAAAATAAGAGTTCTGCTATCGTATATCGGATTGATGTTCTTCCCAAGTATGCGTATATATGATATTCTTGAAATAGCCTATTTCTATCTTAAACGACTGAAAGTTATTTTTTGCATTGATGTAACAATTCAAGTTCTCGCTCTTACATCCCATACTTTATACAAAATTGATTTTTTCTCAAAGTCAAATATAAGCGACCAGGAAACTTCACATTCCTGTTTCTCCTGTCGTGCTTTAACAAATATAATTATATACAATTGTATAATTCTATATAATTATATACAAAAGTGCATCAAAAAGTACTAATCACAAAGATAAGTATTTTATTAGTAAAATAAGAATCTGGCATGTAAACAATTCTGTATATTTTAACTCTCTCAGATATAAGTTATTATCATATCATAAGGTTATAATTTATTTCTAAATCTTTACTCAAATTTAGAAAATTTAATTATAGTTTTAATCGGACAATTAAGAGATTATATGTAATTATCACAGTTTATATGTTTTAATTTAGTATATCTGTAATTTAATGTGAATCACTGATTATCTCTATAACAATTGTGTATAGGTTTAATTTATATTAATTGATTGTACTTTATTCAAAATTTTATGTTTTCCTATTTTAACAAGTTTAATATACTTGACATAAATACAATCGAATTAAAGTGCTTGATGCACACTACTTTGGTACAAAAAGGTGTATGATATAAATTAGGCCATAGAAATATTCTTGCGAAATTATAAGTAAATTTATTTGAGAGAGTTAAATTCAATCATGCTAAAATTGAAGAAACCGAGAGATATAGAACTTTAAAAATATATGAAAAATATAAATGTGATTATATACATATATTATATAAATATTACATAGTTCACAAATTATGACAAATGTGGTTTAACAGTGGCCAAAATATAGCCACAATTATTTAAAATTACGAGATTTAGGGATTAACTTAATAATAACATACGGCTTCTGCCTTACAGAAATATAGATTACACTAGAAAATAAACAACATACTGATAGATGTTTTTGGGTAACCAAAGATTATCTGTTACAACATGCAAGTGTAGAAAAATCGAAATTTTAATATGTAAAAAGAACTTTGGTTACATATACAATCGCGCGGGAAAAATTCCGTTTTACAGGGATTATTAATCAGGGATCATATTGTAGACTAAACAATTTCCGACGCGACTAAAAAGAAAGCCTAAATAATGCAAGGCTTTAAAAGTTAAATTAAGTCTTTACGTTAATCGAATAAACTTCCAATTCATCTGACAATTAACATATGTTCCATTACGAAATTATAACGATCAAAGATCATATATACTTGCGAGCATCAAACGTTTAATGACACTTTAAGATTTAAGTATAAACTAAAATCTCAATATTAATACGCAATGAGTATGCAAAAATTTTACCTTCAACGGATATTATAACGTGATGATAATGATGAGAAGGAACATAATTAAATACAGAAAAAATGTAGGCTCGTTATACGTAGAAACGATGAAACTTACGCGATGTTTAAATACTGATTTTATACATAACTGTAAAACGAGTAATCTTCAGATCATAAAAATGTCTCATATTTCCAGGGTATTGCGAGATGTGTATCTTTGGTTCTATACGATATTTATTCTAGTAAAATAAGCAGTAAGATGTAATGAGAGAATTTCGAATAATGCTGCTTTCGATATCTCTTGATTGTTGTTTTACACTTCCCAGTTTTGTTATTACATTTGCTAAGAATTTGTGTACATGTAACCTTGAATATGTTAAAACGCGCTCAGTGTCCGATCTGTCTTGTATCCAATAAGTATTCGAATCGTTTATCCGTTGAATGTATTCGACAACCTGGTGTAAGGAAATTGCGATACGTATAAGACGAGTTGTTTCTTGCACATGCTGGTCACTCGGTGTCTCGTGAATTCCCAAGTAAAACAGAAAAGTTAAAATGATGTCAATTTGACGTCAGATCGATCAAATTTGGACTCTAAATTTGGACTTTTTTATTCTACTTGGGTTACAAATTTGATCGTGGGCTATTATGATATTAGTATCGTGAAGCATTGTGATAGTCGATAGAAGTATCCGAGAATTCGTATCTCTATTCTTCCAAGTACTGCCATTGCCAACTACGCTAATTTCTATTTTTAATCACGCTGAATAGCTACATTTTTCGCGGTATAATCACGGCGCGGCCGCGCGCGTGTGTATATGTGTAGATATATATATATGTATACATAATCTATATATATACATATATATATATATATATATATACTAACTATATATATAATAATTTATTAACATTGAATTAGAACATGATGTGTGTAATAAAGTAACGGCGGGATATACTTTACTAAAAAAAAGGTATACATTTCATACATATGCAAAGGTGTCTAAATTTCTGTCTTAGCACATTATTGTGAAAGAGTTTGAATGAAAAATTCTTTTTTGCTATAACATTTTGTTATATATATATATATATAAATGAATTTTTCAACACTCTAAAAAGCTTTCTCAAATATTTTATTTTAGCAGAATGATAACTAGCCAACTTAAAAAGATGTCTTCGAATTTTGTACGAGATGTATATGCTGTTGTACCGCAAAAAAAAAAGAAAAGCTTAGTCACGTTTAAATAAGTTATCGAAATTTGAATTTAATATATAGGGTTATTTAAAATCATTTATCCGATTGCAACTATATTTTTGAAGTTTACAGATACAGCGATTAGTGATACATTAAAAGAAAATTTCAAGTTTTGTCTCTTACTTTACAAGTGTTTGATATGACTTCCCTTAATTACTAAGCAATGTTAAGTCAAATTTCTTCTTTAATTTAACATATATCTGTTTTCGCCGACCGATTAAGTGTTTTAGGCAACAATGACACGTATTTTTAACATATTCCCAACAAAAAAAGTGATATTCTATGATTTAGTGTTCTGCAATTGGCCCTCTCACCGGATCTTACGTGAGGAACGAGTGCGGCCGGTTACCCATTTTTTCTTTTGAGGATGCTGTTTATGTATCTGTTGCCCACAATTCTGAATGAGCTCAAAAAATTGTTACAGCTGAATTTAATTATCGTCCCAACATTGTTCGTATAATTAAGGAAAGTCGCATCAAGCAGTTTATAATTTATAAGATGAAAGACAAAACTTGGACACTTTATTTTATTACTACGTATATATAAACTTCAAAAATACATTTAAAATCGGAAAAATGATATTAAATAACTCTGTGTATATATATATATATATATATATACATACATACATACATACATATATATATATATATATATATATATATATATATATATATATATAATATACTATATATACATATACTTATGTATATGTGCACAAAATATATGTATGTAATGTGTTATTTATACATACATATATGAATATATAAATAAATATACATTTACATATACATTGCATATATATATATATATATATATATATATATATATATATATAATATAAATATAAATATATATATATATATGTATGTAATGTGTTATATATATATATATATATATATATATATATATATATATATATATATATGTTCCTCCTATCCTTAGGTTACCTACAAAGGGCATGTTATCGATATTAATTATCGTTTACTGCGTTATTACGTTTATGTATTTTATCTATTGCATTATTTCCTTTTCTATTGTCTAGCTATTTATTGTATTGATTAGCTTGATGGTCCATGTATATATATATATATATATATATATATATATATATATATATATGTACATGTTATCATGGATTTCTCACAAATCTCTTAAAGGTGACATTCTGTATTTAGCAATTCTTTCTTTTTTTACCGTGGAAAAATGAATATCTTATTTGGCGATTTAGATTGTTTCGATTAAGTGTGAATGTAAAGTGCGATTTTATAGTTACTTTCTGTAGTGCGCCTCCTTCGCATCGTACATATTTATAATGTTTAAATTAAGCACCCGTCAATAAAATATCATCGGAATGGGTATCAAAGTTTTTCGTACGAATCACGGAGGGAATAATTATGGAAAGTAACGATATATTTATACCGTGAACGAGTTACATTATTAATTATTATATATGGTGAGCTTTGTAATTGAAAGTAGATAGTTTAAAATAATAGATTCAACAGTATTATAAGAGCCTGATTAAACATTTTTCTTTTTTACTAAATCGACAGGTTTGAGTATTTATCGTTCATCTTTTTCAATTTTTGAGTGCATACAAAATGATGATCACTCATCGACACACAGTATGATAATTATAAATACATATAGTTCTCGTTAAAATCCAAATTAAAATTTATCAGAGAAGAGGAAAATATATATAGAAATACAGATCATGTGTATATTATATGTAAAAAATAATAGACAAAATGGACTGTAACTGCCAAACTCTCATATTTTCATTACGTTTTAAATTGCGAGCAACTTTTACGTGCGAATTTACGCTATTGTTACGTCTTGCGATTAATTTCGGATTATTTTGCATTCGCTATGTATTCTTAGATCTTGAAGATTTCCTCACCGATGCTCCACACATCTCTTTATGTCGAGATATCGATGGACAGGATTAAATAATGACTAATTATTCAGCGTTGTATGCGCAATAGTCGCCCACTTTTGTATGATTAATGCGAGATTGTGTGTGAGGGGAGTGATACACAAAGCGAAAAAATTAAGCTACAATAGAGGAAACTAATGTTTTATGTGTATATCTGGTGCATTTCGTGCAAACCCGTGTCATAATAATTAAAACTCTCATAATAATGATAAAATTGTTAAAATAATACAAAAATGGAAAAGTCAAGCAAAGAGAGAAGAAACAAAAGAAAAAATGTATATAGAAATGATATGACTTTAAATTACTATATCGCACATGATTGTATCTAATTAATAATTATTTAATATATTGCAAATATAAATGGTACAAAACTTTGACGTTTTATTTGGAATCGTGTTTCTATGGTTTAATAAGAATATATTAAATGTATAAATATGTGTTAGTTTTATATATAAATGTTAAATAAGCAATTTATTTGGAATTTTTATTTTTTGTTTCTACAAAAAAAATGGAAATATAAATGTATATATAATATAATTAAATTACATAATAAAATTAATTATATAATTTAATTAATTGCACAATTTTCAATATATCAAGATTATATATTTAATTATTTGATGTTATTCATTGATATCAAAATTATATTTATTTAATTATTTTATGTATTGTAATATTCAAGTTTAATATCGATCATTAATGATCGATTACAAGTGTGGTCGCAATGCGCGTGCGTGTAGTTGAGATAATCAGCTGTTCAAAATAATAGTCGAGTTTGTTTTGCTTGTGTATTTTATATATTTTATATATGTGAGCTTTCTTTTTTCTCCAAAATTTATATTATTTTAAAAAATACAGAAGGAAAATACAGCTAAAACAATAAAGCTTTTACGCTTTCAGTGTAAAATTTATCGAGTATATCAGCTATTTTCTCAGTAACGTTTTCTGCATTTGTTTTTCACCTGTTTGTTAAAGGAGTTATTGTACGTATTTTGAATAAAGTAAATGCGAAAAGGTGCTGTTAGAAGCGAATGAAATCTGTTTCACGAGGAACTTGAGATTTCTAAACTTTTTGTTTACTAAAAATCTAGTTATTATCTGACAAGTGATCAGTTCTAACCTGATTCTCTTGTATATGCTGGACAATTGTTTCGAGTTGAAAGCATTCTGCAAAAAAAGAAACTTCGTCTAAATTAATTAAAGTTAAAATTAAACTAACGTCTAAACTTAAATTAAACATGTCACATCGCGATGCTGATAATGATAGCATGGATAACTTGTTGGATGAGAAGAGCATTGATCTGGAAAAATGTAGAAAATTAGTTAAATCGTACATCGATTTGGTAAGTTTTGTTAAAAGAACATTGCAAAGCTCTACGTTTAAGCGTACATCTAACTTGACTTATTCACTTTCAGCATCTGTACAGTGCCGCCTTGTTTTGGGCTGATAAAGTAGTGTCGCTGAGCAACCAGGATCCAAAAGATATATGCACCTTGGCACAGTGCATGTATCTCATGAAACAATACCATCGTGCTGCACATCTCATAAAGAGATATGGATTACAAAAGGTAATTTTATCAAATTAATTTAAATCTATCAGTTGTTTACAACAAATGAATATTCACGATAGTTACACTCTTGTTTTATGAGAGCCGTGCATCTTTATAATTTATTAAATTAAACAATGATATATCTTTTTTTACAGACTGATGTAATGTGTCATTACTTGACTGTGAGGTGTTTGCTAGAAGCAAAAGAATATAGCGATGCTCTTCAAGTTATCAATGAATCTGAAATATGCACTAATATAACACAAGCAGGTATTACATTTGCGAGTCGTATGGATATTTTTCAGGATGCCCCAAAAAATGTAAGTGGATTTATATATTTATGTACATAAATATCTATATTTGTAAAATAATAATAATAAATTTATAATTGTAACATGATTATTATAATACTATAGTTGTTGTATTAATATTTAAGATGAGTATACATATATATAATCTTTTTGTAGGTTCAGAGTTCGATATTATATATAAAAGGAAGAGTTTACGAAGCAATGGATAACAGAGCAGTAGCAACAGAATGTTATAAACAAGCTCTACAATGTGATGTTTATTCATATGAAGCATTTGAAGCTTTAGTACAGAATCAGATGCTATCAGCTTCTGAAGGTATTTTATTATATTTTTTTAAAAGTAAATTAATGTGTATTTAATGAATAAATTAATAACAATTATGTGTGTATGTGCTAATTTAGAGCAGGAACTTTTGGAATCCTTACCGTTTGCTGAACAATGTATAAAAGGTGAAGCAGAACTTCTGCAACTGTTGTACGATAGTAAACTAAAAAATATCAAGCGCCAAATACAAAACAATCATTAATTACATGCAATGTAATGGGAATTTCTGTCGCTGACAGATTGGTGGATAATTTAGATATGCAAGTTGCAAAGGCTGAAAGATTATATTATAATTGTGATTATCATCAATGTTTCTCACTTACAGAAAAGTAAATATCACATTTCTATTATGAGATATTATTTTTATAGCAATATTTTTTATATTTTCCAAAACATAATATGACACTTTCAATATTCAGAATCTTGAAAAAGGATCCATATCATAACTCGTGTCTGCCAGTACATATTGCCTGCTTAGTCGAGCTTAAAAAGACTAATGGTAAGTTTATATCTTGTCATAAATAAAAGGATTATTAGCATTTAAATTTGTTAATGAAAATTATTTCTTTTTTAGCTTTATTTTATCTGGCACACAAATTGGTTGATTTATATCCGGAAATGGCTTTGGCATGGTTTGCAGTCGGATGCTATTATTACACCATAAGTAACTAATTATTATTTACTAATTATTTCTTAAATCACTAAATAAAAAGTATTAAAATAAATAAAAATATAAATGTTTGCGAATAAAAAAGAAATACTAGAACACTTTCAATATAATTTGTTGTATTTAAGGTAAAAGTGATCAAGCTAGAAGATATTTAGCGAAGGCTACCGCGCTGGACAGACTATTTGGTCCTGCTTGGTTGGCGTATGGACATTCCTTTGCAGTAGAAAATGAGCACGATCAAGCAATGGCTGCTTATTTTAAAGCATCACAATTGATGAAAGGTTGCCATCTTCCGCTTTTGTATATCGGATTAGAATGCGGTTTGACGAATAATCTTAAACTGGCTGACAAGTTCTTTCAACAAGCTCAAGGAATAGCACCGAACGATCCATTTGTGATACATGAAATGGGCGTTATATACTTTTACAACTTAGAGTAAGTATTATTTCTTGATATTTTTAATATTATTATGTGCTATTATTTATACTAGAAAAATCAAAATATTGCATGTATCCTCAATTTACCCATGTAAATTATTTTTGTTAAACACAGTTACAAAAATGCAGAACGATTATTTAAGGAAGCTATGAAAAGCATTCAGGGCGACGTAAGAAATGTGATTCTTCCCAGTAAATGGGAAGCACTACTGAATAATTTGGGTCACACTTGTAGAAAAATGAAAAAGTATGACGAGGCATTGGAATATCATCAACAGGCATTAGTCTTGGATCCTTTAAATCCATCGACTTACTCATCGATTGGTTTTATTCACGCGTTAATGGGTAACATTCAGGAAGCAGTGGATGCTTTTCATAGAGCACTTGGTCTCAGAAAGGATGACACATTTACCGCAACCATGTTGGGTTACGTGATGGAACATTTGATTGATGAGGCACCACCTTATCCTGGTACATGACATACTATTGATATTGCAATGAGCGATTCAATTTTTACATTATACTCTTAAACTCGTGATAAAACTGCGGAACATGTTTACGAACAAGACTTTTTCAGATGCACCTACGGAAATACCGAAATACAAATCTGAGGACAACGAAGCCAGACCGGAAAATTCCAACAATGTAGGCAATAGCTCGAGCAATCAAGATATCGATAAATTAAAAGTGATTCTCTTTTCTAATAGCTGGGGAGAAAATTCCAGCAAAATGGGAAAGATTTGGGAAGATGGTACGTCCGGGAAATTAGAACGACAAACGCGAGATGTTGTGAATTACTCAACCGGTGATACTTCCGAGGTTGAAATGTTAGATTCATCGACTGCGCATATAGAATATAATTGAATCCGCGAACTTTTCTCACACTTTCATCAACGTACAAAGCAAATAATTTCGCTTAAAGCATATTTATTCTTCGCAATCATATGTAATATTTAGTACTAAAATGGTGTAAATATTGTATATATATTTTTATATCACTTTAGTTTTGATACATCTTGTAAGATTATTTCGCGATGTTGTGGCAAGACACCTTACTCCGTTGATATTGTAACAACTTACGTTTATTAAACATGTATTAGCTTGAAAAATGAAAAATGCGATGACAATTTTAATAGTTAATTTCGGAATCTTGCAACAAAAATCGAACATAAGTCTTTTCTTTAGGATTCACGTCTATCTTTATTTAAATTTTATTTAAGAAAAAAAGACACTAATTTAGGTATTTAACTCTTCCAAATTTTCTCGCACGAGAAAATGTAAAAGAATAAAAACGCGACAATATAACAAATTTGCGCACGATACGTTCAAAGACCCCGAATCGTCGCGGTCTTTGATGGAGCGTGCGTGCGAGGGAATATATATATATATATAGAGAGAGAGAGAGAGAGAGAGAGAGAGAAAGAGTGGGAGAAAAAGAAAGAATGTACGAGCGGAGAAATCTATTATATCTATACATTCGGAGTAGTATAGCAGGGCGAAAGAATGGGCGTACCAACGTTCCACCCCGTCGACAAATCATAAAGGATCGGGAGAGATTTTTCGACAGGAAATATCAGGCGAATGCGGCGCATCTCGCGCAACACGCAACGTGTCAAAGTCTCCCGGGTGAGCTTTTCATCATCCAGAGGAATCATCCCTCGCCGCCGCCACTGTTCATCATCGTCATCACTCGCACGTAACTTCTCGGGAAACGCGCAACACATGAAGCTTATCGCGCGTTGTTATTAGTGGCGGACGACGACAGTCGAGTCGGCGGCTCTCACTCGCTCGTGTCTGGAGGTCGAGCCGAATTTACATCATCCCCGAAAAATCAGGATCTTTCTTCGGGACCGCCGTCGAAATCCATTCCGCGGAGATGCCCACATTAATGCAATCGGTAAGTCATCCTTTTCCGCAAGATTAAGGATTATTTGGAATTAATGTCGGATTTGAATTCGCATTCTTAATCACACGTTTTTGAAGAAAAAGACGTCTAATATATACATATCATGTTGATCATATTTATTTTATAATATATGCCTCGTATTATATTGTTCTATAAACATCGATAGAATATGAAGAATTGAAAAAGTCAAGACATTTTAGGGTTGTAACCAAACCGATCGGTTCCGCGCTTTGTGATTTCAATTGCTATTTTTTATTTTTGATGATTCAGGTGATTGTCATCTTTTTTATTCTTGATTTTTAATGTGCTGGAAATCCTCGTTTATTAACTCAACGCGCTACGTGGACGACATAAGTATATCAGATATATATCGCGAAGGAATGTCCTGCGCCGGAGCAAATGTAAATAAACACGGCGACATACGTATCGGAGCTGTAATATTTATACGAGAATTTTATTTCTGAGAAATATATTAATATATCTCTCGTATTCTTTTGAATATATTTATTGTCAGATATAAAGAAAATGAGATCAGTGTATGCGCGACTGCTAAAAATTCTTAAAACGATCGATTTATATGAGGGTGAGTTAATTATGAAATTTGATATAATGACACGTGTTCTAGATATCTTAAATTCCGATGAGGTGTATTTCCGAGTTTATTGCAAATTTCCCAGCAGCACAAATTTTTTAACTATTTATTATTATTATTATTATTTATGATTATTTTAATCTTCATCGCTTGTATAATTAAATAATTTATTTCCAGTTTTATTCTATATCTCGAGAAAATGTTTTTATTTACATAAAAAGCTCACAAACATATATAATCTTTTGTCTTAAAATATTAACAAGACATTATTTTATTTTATTTATTTAATTTTATTATTATCGCTTTTATTAATATTTCCATTATATATTATATTTATCGTATTCATTGTTATAGCATTAGGATAATAAGAGATGCTCGATCATTTCAAGATAGAAAAATCTTGCAAAATTCAGACGGGAGTGAAGAGGACTCACGATATTACGTCACCGATGACGTAGTAAATACATATAGATAGAATTATCACGTGTACAAGTAACGAGGGTAGTAAACTCAACCGGGTTCCCCGTTTCGAGAGGCAAAATTCCGGGAAAATCCGTGGAATGTGTGTTTCCCGATATATATTCTCCCCTCTCTCTTTTTCATTCCTCTAAAGAATGTTTTTTTTCTTTTTTTTTTTTTGCAAATTCCACAACGCGCCACGGCCGGCAGCGTGGCGTCCTTCAGGAGGCGCGCTGTTTTCGTTTCCCCGATTGCGCCGCGCAGTCGATCGGCGTCGTTCGTCGAGAGTGTGTGACACGTCGCGCGCGAATTATTCGATCTCTCGAAGTAGAGCTGGCTACTTCCACCCTCATTATTACACGACCGCGAGGTTCGGAATAAACGACGTCGGTGAGAAATACCGTAATATATTAGAAATGTATTATACATTAAATAATATGTATCATAATATATTATATATTAATATATATATAATATATTATATATTATATATTAATATATACATATCGCGTGTGTCAATTTTCGTGGCGGGATTGAGAAAAGCAAAAATGTTTGAGTCTTAAATCGATAAGGACTCCGAAAATAAGGCTTTTTTTAAATAGAAATTTAAATTTAACTACGTAAAATATATACAAGTGTTTTTGTTTCTAAGAAGATATAATAATGTGGATATTTGTACTTCTAAATCGAATTATGACGAAGTTTTTGTTTAATTAAATAAGTAGTTCGACGTCTTTTTTGATCGTTTCAAATTCCACGATTGTTATGATAACCGGAGATTTTTAGTCAGTTCAAAAATAAAAATTGGTAGTTGAAATATTATATAGAGACGTTGCTGCAAAGATTTCGCGTTTGTAAAATATATTATCCAGTATGTGTATTTGTTCGAGTCACTTCCGCGACTGATAAGTAACAAATTATTTTGCAGACGGATATTTCTCTGGTGAGCGACGAAAGCGACGAAACGGACGTTGAATTTGATCGAGAGCCATCATCGATGCATCATCAGGATCCGTTGCACCATCAGGATGCGACGCAGAATCGCGAACGTAGCAAGCTGCTGCTGCGTAAACTGAGTCAGACTCGCGAGCGGGAACGCGGCAAGGAACGCGAACAGGAACGCGAGAGATTGCACCAGTTGCAGTCCATCAACAATTTATTAATCGATCTACCACCGCCGCCGTCACCTACGCATCTTCCGAATTTCTCGCAGGATGCCTCCTCCTCTTCCCAATCCGACAAGAACGTCAGCATAGACGGTGAGACAAAGCATTTTTTTATTCCCGCTTATTTGTGTAAATATAGAATATTTTTCTAATTAAATCGATGATAATACAGGTGTGCACTCCCTGGAAAAACCTGGAATTCTCAGGGAATTTTGTTCTACCTTGAAAAATCCTGGAATTATCATGGAGCTTGATTTAAACTCAGGGAATTTTTTAAAAATTGCCCCTTTGCCTTTAAAATATAGTTTAAAGAATATAAAATTTATTTGTTTTATATATAAAGTATATATTAAAATATATTATACCTATATAGTATATTACATTAATATATTTAAAAAATACTTCATTTATATTAAAAAATTATGTATAACAAATAAACTTATTTCAAAGTTGTATTCTAAATATAATTTAAAATACTTAATTTTACCTGGAATTTTGAACAAAATTACCTGGAAAATCATGGAATCCTCAGAGAATTGATTTCTAAGATTTGAGTATACATCCTGTAATAAAATTGTTTTTGAAAGTTCTCTTAAAAATTCTTCTAAAATGATCTCAAAGATTTTGATCTTTATGGATATCACAGGAGTTTTGCTTTACGAAAAATTAAAGTTCTTTCTGATTTTTTTATTAGATCTGTTTTTGTATGAAATTTTTACTTTGTATAATAAGTGTGTTAATTTTTCTTTTATTTTTTTATAACAGGCGACAGTGCAATTTCGGATATGTTTGGACTGGGTTTGCCCAGAGGATCGCTGATGGGAAACCAACTGACGGTTGGCTCTTCGAGTTACCGTAATTATCAATTTGGCAATTACGATCAAACCCAGGGATCTTCTTCTCAACAACACGAGGTAATATTGGACACATGTATCTTATTCATGGAGATTTATTTCAATGAAAATTTTAGATTCTAAATAATAATGTTAATATTGATCTAAATAATATTGTTAGAAGAGAAAAAGAGAGTTGATTGAGAATGAAAAAATTTAGTCAATGTGACGGATATGTTTGAATAATATGAATGCGTAGTAAATTAAATGTATGATAAAGATATATTTAACGCGACTTTTGTTACAATTGGATAGTAGTAATAAAGAGTAGGTGGATCAGTAGGAGTCCATATTTGATTGACGCATCATGATAAGACTTATTATCATCGAATTACAACATATAAATGGAAATAATATTTTACGTCAAGATAACGTAATTTATTAATTGACTAATAAGAACGCAATTTAATTATACCGATATAAACAAGGTTAAAATCAAATAGGATTCGTTTATTTTTAATTAAAAAATATTATTTTATTTCACACTTTATTTATTCTGCATTGTAATAATATTTTTGAAAATTCGTTAATATTTTCACGAAAAAAATTATATCGTTATTACTTGCGCGAGAGATTGTTCTCCACTATAAAATAAGAACACATTTGACGCGACGACGATTTGATAAAAAACGCGATTACGATATAATAACTTCAGCGAGCTACAAATTTTACGTATAGAATGGCAATAAAGATGATAAACGTAACATAAAGCATATTGTACTGGAGGAATTTCCTCGGCAGTGCAATAACTCGAATAATGATTATCCCGTTGGAATAATTCCAACTACCTTATTTCAGCCGTGTTTCTGATTTTAACATTTAACTTTATCGATTTTGTTCATCATATCGCATTATATATTTTACGTGCATGTCTAGAATTACGTGCACATTCGAATCAATCTTTTATAGATTATAATAGAAATTCAATTATCATTTATTTCTTGGATTATAGATATTTTATATATATAATTTAAGATATAATTATATATATAAAATATTTAAATATACACTTCAAATATATGATTCAAATATCTTTGAATATAAAACAAAATTCATCACGAATCTCCGATAAATTTGACTCAAGATATAAGTATAGTAATTCGTATAAAAT